GGGGGCTAATTTTAACGTCATTGTACGTCCCCCTCGAAATGACGAAATTTTGATTCTAAACATTTTTTCGTAGTGTGCTTATTTTTCGAGTTATTTGGCTGCCTAAGTTAAAATGGGTCACCCTGTATATATATATATAATACTTATATATTATAAATTTAATATTAATATATTATATTTTAATAATATAATAAAAAATTAATAGTAATATATTCTTTTAATAATATATATATAGTTATTTTTTAATTAAAATTTCTAATATTACTGATACTAATTTAAATATATACTACATTGTTATATGAAATATGATGAAAAATAAAATGTAAAAACAAATAATGCTATATAAGATGTAATGACAGGTAGAGAACGCTCAATAAGAACGTCTTATAGATTCATATAGCAATACGTATTGCAGGTTTTCATTAAAACTTGTGTATGTGAGTGAGTCTGAATGCAAGATAATACGGACTGAATGCGTGCGTATGCTATTCAAGCCTTAGTAAGGGCAAATAACAAGTTGCAAAATATTTAAGAAATAAAGTTTCTTCCTTTTTCATTAAAAAAAATGTTAGCCCTGATAATAATATTTGACGTCTCCGAATATTTTTTATGTAATAATATATGTTTTTTATATGCTGCCGAATATTTTTTAATGCTTAATTTTAACCTGCAAGTATTTTTTTAAGGTTTATGTTTTTACATTTTAACGAGTAATACGGGTATCCAGTTATTGTCCGTACGTTTCGGATAAAGCTGGTGATTTAGATCGGATGAATAAATTATCCAAGTATCCGAGTGCACGCTGGATACTATCCAGCGAAATATGCGGGTAATTCCCAGATACTCAGATATTCATATTATCCGTATTACTCACATATTGATCAAATATTCACAATAATAATATGGCTCGAATAATTAATAATATACTACGTTATCATGAGATATTATACAGGTTAAAATGTAAAAACAAATAATACTACATACAACTTACAATAAAGTACATTTTTTACGAGACTTTTATTTTAACCTGTATATTTTAGAACAATATAGTATATATTATTAATTATTCGCGAGTAATATCAGTAATGTGAATATCTGAGCAATATAGGAGTAATACAGGTAATACAGATAATTCAGTAGCACGGGTAGTGTTAAATGAGCTCTTCTGCGCACACGCACCAAAAATATTAGAAAGTAATATACGATCGTGGACAAAAGGTTGTCCATTAATTTTATGGAAGTTTCAAAATGCATTTATCTTGTCCAATAGAAGAATTCTTCCAAATGTCACTAGAGAATAAATAAATCAATTCTGAATAGATTAATTTTTCAAAAATTTGTAAATAATCTTTTTTAGGAGCACTATACACAGCACTTTACACAGATCTTTAAGTAATAGATCTACATATTCATATTATATTCAATTCGCATGTTCGAGAAGCGGATTCATTTAACAACACTTAGTATTACCCGTATATTTCAAGCAATGAGCGGATATCCGGGTGTGTCCAAATATCATTAATTCTAGAAGATACCTGTTTTGCAAAACAATGGCAAGTGTAGATTATATCGTAGCCATGTCCGATTTCGTTAGATCTACGGAAATCGTATGACTAATTGTCGCAACGTGTGCACTACTCCCACTGCTGTCACTACCACTATTAACAATATTCAACGATGATATTTTAGCCCGTTGATACGCTACAACGGTGTTTAAACCCAAAAATCTGAAAGTAAAATAATTCTTATTAACTGCACGAATTGACGCGATATTGTAACTTCTCATAGATCCAGCTTTTACGTACCTTATACAAACGTATATGATCAGCAATGCGGCAGCGGCAGCAAGAGTTCTAATAATGGGCGCCTCTACAAGTTGAATAATTATCCACGAAGCAGCAGAAGATGCACACATTATCGTAACAATAGCGATAGTTTGTAAGCAGTGACGTGGCGTCAAGCCATTCTGCCAATCCAGTCGGCTCGCATGTTCAACATTATAGTTCGTACCACAAACTTTGCAAGTAAGACTGTCAGCATTTACAGAACTCTAAAGAGAAGAAGAAAGTATAACTAAGATAAGTTATAAAGTTATAAAATATAGATAACATAAATAAAGAAGTTATAAAATATAACTAAGGTAACATACTAGATATGTTAAGTACGATAGATATATATAGTAAGATATTTCACCTCAACTAGCCAACGACGAAGACAATCATGATGTACAGCGCTTACATCACCTCTACATTGGCATGGTTGTATTAATGGACCAGCATCCTGCCTGTCACTGTCATAACAAATCCAACAATCTTTACTGTTAATTGATGATGCATCCGTAAGAAATGCAGTGTCTTGAGATGCACCCTTTTCTTGCAATTCTATCTCCTTTATATTCTTTCCCTGATCCAGATCCAACCTTTTCAAAATTCGCTTTGGATTTAAAATCCATAATTGCTCTGGACTAAAACAAAAATTGTAATACATGGTATAACAAATATACGACAATATATGACAATATAAGACAAAAAGAAATTATATATATATATATATATATATATGTATAAATTACAAAATTTATTATGTATATAAAACATACCTCATACAATTCCATAAAACACAGGGAAACCATAATGCTACACCAACTTCAATAACACGGAACACAACATCATGCCAATTCCTGCTATATAGTGGTACCCTAGAAATATGAATTAGTATGTGTATTATTTAAATGCAAAGTTTTAACTTATATGAATCTCTATGTTTCCTTACTTCGTTTTCCAAAATTCACTGAGAGTCTCACTAAATAGAAAACCAACTATTATAAACAACATAAATGCTTGTGAAAGTAACCCAAATCTAGATTGATGCAATTGAGACATGTTCACTTGTTGCATATGCAAAGGCTCTGACGTAGATGTAGATGGAGCTGAATCAAATAATTTTGCAGTTACTTGTTCTTCAGGATGAATTTTGGTCTCATCAGCTGTACGTTTATTTGTTGCTATAGAAGTAACTTGGTATTCATTTAAGAATCCACCACGAATCTGGTAATAAAAAATATTGCAAGTTAAAAATATATTATAATAGGATTATGATGTACAAAAAGACATACTTTAAAAAATACTTCAACTCCGTATATTAAGAAGAAGACTACTACTATAAACAGCAGCACTGCGTAACAACCATTGAACACATGTGTATAGAAACTCTAGAATAAATAAAAAATATTTTATGATTAAATATTATTTTAATAGAGTGTACACACACGTACGCGTGCAGATTTTAGTGAAATATTGTAATAAACAAATTATTCTGCTCTACTTTGCTCTACTTTACTTACTTGGTCTTTTTGCGAATACATCTGAGCTGTGATAAAGTCCGCAAATAAAAGGGAATACGTTATTATGTTGAAAACAACAAAAGCCAAAAATGATTTTGACAGAAACTGAGGCTTGTCCCATCGAATATCTCTCAGATGAACAACTTCAGCCCAAAAACAGACTATCAACGAAGATCCACTCAAGAGCAGTGGATAATATGCTGACAGTAAACTTCTAGACCAACCTTCCTTGAAAGCAGTCTACAAAAATTAATAATTTACTAGAATGGACGAATATGGTGTTTTTCAAAATAATGATGTTCATCTACATACCGGTGATGTAAAGTATGCACCTCGTATAACTGATGCAAGAAAAACTACGAAGTATAATACTTTCTGAGTAGTAACCCTGCATGCTCTTAAGAAAGATGGTGCCTTCATTCTTTGCCATTCAGCAACAATGCACATAACAAGTTGTATTAAACAAACAAAAGCTAATATGAAGAACATTGTAGCAAAGGCAATATAATAACTTAAATTTGGAATATGACATTCTGGTCCATCAAATTGGATCTAAAATAAAGATTGATGATTAAAGATAGTTTTGAAATAACATAAAATGACGAGTTTGAAAACTAATAAAAACTTTACCTCACATAAGCATGTTCCATTATGACATTCTCCATGACCAGAACAATTTTCAATACCACAACTGTTGTTCCAAGCCATCATACCAAATTTAACCAATAAAGACAATGGATTTTGTGTACTTAATGCAATCACTTGTTCCATGATCGCTAGATACAGAGCAACTGCTCTGACAGTCTCTGAAAAACTGTTTCACAAAACAAAAAACAAATATTTGTATATATCACACACTCAAATTATAAAAAAATTACACTATTATTAAATTGTCCTTTTTTTAAAGATATACTGATAATATATAAAAGTTTAGAATATTTAAATAGTATAAAAGAATCAGATTTTATTAAAATTTCAGACAATAAATTTACTATGACTCTGTATATACTATAATTTGACAAGTATTTCAAAGTCATAGGTCATTTGTTATAACGTACCAAATAATAATTTATATTTATTGAAATTAAAATATATAATTATATCGATATTTTATACTACATAATATTGTTATAAAAATACTACCATAAAAAGTATTCAAAATTATTTTACGTTCATACAATAACAATAAGTAAAAAACTACTGAAAGATCTGATATCGATAACAACAATGATATCGATTCGCGTATTCCTAGATATCGTATATTTAGATTTCACTTAAGGAGCAAATACGCATAATGAGACGACTACTGATAACAATGACATTGTATGCATTTAACAAAGAAATGAATTTCTTCGTATGAAAAAGCAAGCTTTTCTTCCTTCTCGCTAACTGACCGTTTATTCGATCCGGTGTCGCATGTATGTTGTTTCCGCGGTATTGGGCCTGCTTCGCGATACGAAGTGAGTGCAAGCGTACGCAATGACGCTAAGATGAAAGCACTAGTTATTAGTCAGCTGTCACTATTCCGCTGTAGTTGTTCCGCGACGAAAGACCGCTGTCGACGGATTATCAACGACGTGCCAAATTGCACGTTGATCTCGATAACACGCAGGCAACGACGCATTAGCAAAAATTAGTTGCGTCACATACGAATGATAACACGTCGTAGATAGCAAAGAACCCTTTTACGCTCTATCAACCTTCAGATCCCTGACGAACTCTTCGACGAAAGAGTCCATCTGATCCCCACCAACAAAGCGATCGTCTATGACGTAAACATAATTTCCAGTTTCGATGCACGATATTGGCTGCGTTCAGAAAACATAGCTGATCAGTGAGCGGTCAATGATTATTGGTCCTTACTGTTAGATCCTATAGGCTTGATTTACATCGTGCACTTAATATGCTTACTAAATAGTAACTTTCTATTAGATAATCTTAATATCGACGAGATATATAAACAACGGTATATTAAGCTGGTATAATTCTCATCAACGAAACGTATTGTGTTGATTGAATACGTCGCCGTTGATATGTATTGTCGATATTAATAGTGTTCGACTGGCCCTGGGTTAATCGCTCGGAGAGCGATTAATGACGTCATAAGTCTCTACTAGCCAATCATAAAGCTTATAAGTACTTGTTCGACCAATAAACGTAAGCTGAATAACCCAGAGTGGATTAACCCAGAGCCAGTCGAACATGCTATAAGATTATCTAATAGAAAGTTACTATTTAGCCAGTGGCCTGGTTTACATCGTGCACTTGATACGTGTATTAATAGTAACTTTCTATTAGATAATCTTGATATCGATAATGCATATCAACAGCGATGCATTCTATCAATATAATACGTTTTGTTAATGAGTATTATACCAGCTTAATATACCGTTATTTATATATATTGTCGATATTAAGATTATCTAATAGAAAGTTACTATTTAGTACGCGTATCAAATGCACGATGTAAACCAAGCCAGTGTATATAACATGAACTATAGATTTAAGAGTAAAATTTTTCTTGAAAAAGATGTTTTGGAATGCAACCTTAAGGCTGGGAGCACAGACTTTTGCATAACGCATAGCGCATAACGCATAAGGGAATCAACCAATCAGAGACCTTTATTTCCCTCTCCAGGATAGAAACGAATGACTCTGATTGATTGATTTCCTTATGTGTTATGCATTATGCGTTATGCAAAAGTCTGTGCTCAGGTCCTAAGAGTAAAATTTTCCTCGGAAAGAACGATTAGGGTCGCATTTAAAAACGTCCTTTTTGAGGAAATTTTACTCCATACTCTATAATATATGTAACGTGAATTATAACTATTGAGTAAAATTTTCCTCAAAAAGAATGTTTTGGAATACAAACTAAGTTGCATTCCAAAACGTTCTTTCCGAGGAAAATTTTACTCAATAACTATAGTTCACGTTAAGCCCGTATCAGACTATAGATTAGGATTGAGATTGAATTGAAATTTAACCAATCAGAGAAATTCACTAAGCTCAAGTTTGGTAAACTTTGCTCTGATTGGCCAATTTTCAATTCAATCTCAATCCTAATCTATAGTTCACGTTAAGCCCGTATCAGACTATAGATTAGGATTGAGATTGAATTGAAATTTAACCAATCAGAGAAATTCACTAAGCTCAAGTTTGGTAAACTTTGCTCTGATTGGCCAATTTTCAATTTAATCTCAATCTTAATCCGTAATCTGATACGGGCTTAAAATGAATCGGATACATATCTTTAGTGTAAAAAAGACGACAAAGGAAAAATTACGAGGAAGTAAGAGAATTATAGATGAAAAACAAAGCTCTACGTTATTGCGAATGCAAAAAGTGTAATATACTGCAACGAAAAAGAACATACCCTATGTGATGTTTTAAAACGGGACTGAAGTATAGCACCGACGATCCCACTGTCACTTTATCGAGTGTCTGGTCGATATTCCCCTAATTGTCAAGGTGTTGTCTGGATTCAGTTGCGCGGATTCACAATCGTGGACGTGAGCGAAATCATTTAAGGCAAGATATATCCTTTCGATGAAATTATTTTTATCTTACGATCTATACAAGTAGTATCTCCTTGAAAAAATAAACCGTTAAGTATAATCTGAAACGTTATATAATATATATATACATATATATATATATATATATATATATATATATATATATATATATATATATATATATACACGACATATGTGTAAAATATTGAATTATTTAGATACAAGTTATATTTTCTTGTATAGTTGTTAACACTATGTTATTTCAAGTGTTATCTTTAAAAAAAATTAAAACATTTTGTACTTTTATGTTAAGAATCAATAAATGTATTCCACAATCAAATAACCTGTGGCAAGAATTTAATAGTAGTTTTTACACCTTACTGGTTACACTTTGCAGCCTTGAGATACAGTGTTTGTATTATTGCTAATTTAGAAGTTACAGTTTCCATAACATATTTGTTGTGTGTGTATAAACATGTAAAATAAAATATTTTAAATAAAATATTCTATATAGAGTTTTGCACATTTCAGATGTCTACTGCGGCAAAGCCTCAGCTCCGTGGTCTTCTCACGTCACAAATTCAAAAGAATCTTATAGGAATGTCTATAATTAGCATCAGCGCAGCTTTAGCATTCAAAATACTTGTCGCTGACCGTAGAAAGCAGAGATATGCTGATTTTTATAAGTAAGTAACATTTATATCTAAAATACTTCTGTCATTAATTTAAATTTCATCACAATATTATATATTATATTTACATGTAATGTTGAAGTTACTGAATATGTTACTAAACTTGTTATATTGCAGAACTTATGATGCAGAAAAACAGTTAAAAATAATGAACGAAGCTGGTCTTATGCAATCTTATATTCCTGACCAGAAATGAAAATAGGAAAAGATTGATGGAATTCTCAAAGAAGATAGTTTCCTTCATAATTATTATATTCATACATATAATAAATAAATTTTAGTAGTATGTACGTTAAGTTTCTTGTTAACTGTACAAACTTAATCCACAATTTTATCCTTATTAAACATTAATTTTATGTTGCAGAGAGAATATTTACATCTACTATTACATAGTATATTTAATATATAAATATTATATTTTTTGCGAGATTTTATAGTTATAGTCATTGAACCAATTATATATCTAATGAATAATTCGACTTTTTTTTTTTTTTTATATCTAATGAATAATTCGATACTCTTTTGCTGGATCATCCTTCGACTATTCCATTCGTGATATAACGATACATATTCAATATTCATATTCTTTATTATCATCCCATTTAATTCGCAGCTTTGCAATAGCCTTCATGTTCAAATATTTTTATCTAGTTACGGAGGATCCAGAGTCGCTTCGCAACGATAAGCAAAATTCTAGGCATTGTATGGAAAGAACTAATATTGATATATGATAAAAGTAATAGTCAAGCCTCAATAACTTGACATTTGTGAGAGAATTCGAGATATCCCGAGGTAACTAGAATGCTATCGTTGGAAGGCAACGGCTAGGAGCGAGATTTGAGGTTAGGGCGTGTATGTTAAAACGATTGGCAAGATGGCGCACCGTAAAATACCCAGCATGCACCACGCGATTGATTTGCGCATGTCAGTTGGTCGCATTGCAAATGGCGGCACCTTGTTATTGTTCATGGCGTTTTATGACTTGTCTCTTTATATTAGCGATTATGTCGAGTTTTTTCGCGATTCCTGCCGCGCGCTGTGTGTTAAGAGTGAAGTAAGACTCGCGCGGTGTGTTTTAGGTTAAGACTAGTGTCCAGGTGGTGTGCCTCCGTGCTGTACGGACGCGAGAGATCGCGCACGGAGTCGGAAAGAAATGGGGTAACGTTGAAATTTTCCTGTGTTCATACGGTATCAAATCCGCGTTGCGCGACGACTAAAGTGAGACTTATCGGGCAGGTCTCATCGCTCGCCGCTCGCTAAGCGGCTATATTCGTTGTGTATACGCGTGCTGTGCGTAACGGCACCGCGGTACGGGCCAAATAAAAATGATTCCGACTTTTGACGGTCTATCTTGAGCATGCTTGAGCCCACTTCACGTACCTCCCCCGTCGGACAAAATGGTGGCCCCCCGATGTCCGACGGTCTGGATGCCGTATTTCGCCGAAAATCATTACGGCGCCCGTCAGAACGCGCGTTTTATGCGAGAAAACCGTCGATTCTCGTCAACATGCTCGTCCGCGTTTCGCGCCCAGCCGAAAAAATGTGGTCTATAACCTATTTCCTAAGCATAGAGCGCTCGGTGCCCCCGCTTGTGCACCAGAAGATTTTAATTGCTGTTCGCGAGCGGTGAGACAAACCTCTAGATCCGTTTTGCGACATGCGAGCGCGTACGTTCGGCGAAATAGCGACAACGAGGAGCCGCCGACGCTTGGGATACGTCACGGAAATCGTCCGGGTTTTCCGGAAATCGCGCACAAATTATAACCTAGTAATTCCTCTAGGCCTCACTTTTTGTTTATGCGTTTGTGTTTTTATTATCTTTTTTTTCAGCATTCTCACACGATTAACCGTATCGATTGTTAAATAACACTGCTTTTTCCAATTAATAGTAACTTCCCTTTTATTATCTTCAGATAATTGTCTAGATTTTGTGTAGAAAGTTTTTTTTGCGCTTGATAAATTCCTTTATTAAATCTAGAACTTATTACTTTAGCAAATATAATTTCATGTGTATTAACTGTATTGTTATAGAAAATATTATTTTGCTTCTGTGGAAAACATCTCTCTCTTTCTTTCTCTTTATGTATATATATATACATATATATATATATATATATATATATATATATATATATATATATATATATATA